CACGGCCAAGGCCACGCCCACGGCCACGGCCACGGCCACGGCAGCGGCCACGGCCACGGCCACGGCCACGGCCACGGCCACGGCCACGGCCACGGCCACGGCCACGGCAACGGCCACGGCCACGGCCAAGGCCACGGCCACGGCCACGGCCACGGCCACGGCCACGGCCACGGCCACGGCCACGGCCACGGCCACGGCCACGGCCACGGCCACGGCCACGGCCAAGGCCACGGCCACGGCCACGGCCACGGCCACGGCCACGGCCACGGCCACGGCCACGGCCACGGCCAAGGCCACGGCCACGGCCACGGCCACGGCCACTGCCACGGCCACGGCCACGGCCACGGCCACGGCCACGGCCACGGCACGGCCACGGCCACGGCCACGGCCACGGCCACGGCCACGGCCACGGCCACGGCCACGGGCCACGGCCACGGCCACGGCCACGGCCACGGCCACGGCCACGGCCACGGCCACGGCCACAGCCACGGCAGCGGCCACGGCCACGGCCACGGCCACGGCCACGGCCACGGCCACGGCCACGGCCACGGCCACGTCCACGGCCACGGCCACGGCCACGTCCACGGCCACGGCCACGGCCACGGCCACGGCCACGGCCACGGCCACGGCCACGGCCACGGCCACGGCCACGGCCACGGCCACGGCCAGGCACCTCCCAAGCGCATTTCCTGGGCAGCCCGCAGGCACTGCACAAGTGCCTTCCCCAGGCGCCCACAGGCACCTCCAAAGTGCCTTTCCTGCGCTGCCGCGGGCACCTCCCAAGTGCCTTTCCTGGGCGGCCCGCAGGCACATCGGAAGTGCCTTTCCTGGGCTGCCTACACGCCCTCGCAAGTGCCTTCCCAGAGCTGCCCGCAGGCACCTCCCAGGTGCTTTCCTGGGCGGCCCGCAGGCACTGCACAAGTGCCTTCCCCAGGCGCCCGCAGGCACCTCCCAAGTGCGTTTCCTGGGCTGCCCGCAGGCACCTCCCAAGTGCTTTCCTGGGGCGCCCGCAGGCACTGCACGAGTGCCTTCCCCAGGCGCCCGCAGGCACCTCCCAAGTGCCTTGCCTAGGCTGCCCGCAGGCACCTCCCAGGTGCTTTCCTGGGCTGCCCGCAAGCACACACCCATCCAGGGCGCGCCGCGCCGCCGAGGAGGAGGGGAAGACGGAGGAGGAGGGGGAGGGGAAGGCCTAGCGCTACGAGCCTTGGCTCCGCGGCTTGCCTAAGAAAAGGAGGGGGAGGGGACCTGTCGAAACCTGCGGACCCCTCTCGAAGCCTTTGGAGCCACCGCCACCGCTAGCCGAAAAGTTCGGGTCCCGGCCGCTCGAAGTTGGCGCGCGCCGGGGAAGGGGACGGGGAGGAGGGGTAAAAGAGAGGAATGGTGAGGGATGGGGAGCAGAAAGAGGGGGGGGGACAAGCTAGGTGCGCAAGCGTCCTATCTGACGTCCTACCCCTCTCTCCCATCCCTTACCATGGCGTAGATGATCTCTCTATTCGCGCAGTCGGATGTCGTTGCATGGCATAGCATTCCATGGCATAACATGGCGTTGAATATCGACGCGTAGCATGACGGCATGGCCTTGCCACAGCGTAGTCAAGCATTGCCTATAATAGCATTGCAGCTGAAGGCATGGCATCGCACAGCGGAACACACCATAGTATCGCATTGCATGCCATGGCATGCAGTGGAAATAAGGCCAGCGCTGCAGCGGGACCACGATTCGGAACGAGCAGAAGCGCGAAAACAAGGCCAGCGCGCCGCGGCCTGGAATACGGTCATGTCTGAGAAGCATGCCGCCACCCGTGCCAGTCAGAAGTTGGCCAAGGCTGAGCAGGGTATCGAGCGTCGTGAGAATAGTATCGGGTCTCTTTGCAGCAACCACGCGCACGTTCTTGAGTACATTGCCAACATGGAGGCCAAACGTGATACATTGGCATCAGACGCTCATCCAGAGAAGCTGGACTTGGCTGAGGCACGAAAGCGAGTTGCGCCATCTACGATCGTTACTGTCATGCCCAAGGTCGACGAGTTCGCCCAGTAGCTGAACGCCTTCAAGAAGCACCTGGCGGGACTGGGTGAACAGAGCGATCGAGCTGCTCTTCGCACGAAATGGGAATTGGCCTACAAGCAGCTTGAGTCTAAGTTCGGAGAAGTGTTTCGTCTCGTCCCAGAGGGCTACCCAAGACCAGTCGGATGAGAAGATGCGGATGTGTCGATATGATGCTCCCTCGATTCCTGCGGACGTCATGGAGGTGGATGAAGACGAGCTCGAGGATGTCGTCGACTCTGTCCTAGGCTTGTCGGACGCGTGCAAACGCGTGTTGCTTGAAGTTCACGAAGGGATCGGTTCGGTTCGGTCCGGTCTGGTTCTGCAGCCGGTTCGGTTTTGCTTGGCCGGTTCGGTTTGACATAGGTTCGGTTTCGGCCGGTTCGGTTTGGATCTGGTTCCGGTTCGGTTTAGTTGTTGTTTTCGCGCGGTTCGGTCCCACCGGTTCGGTTCGGTCCGATTGACGGTTTGGTTCGATTCGGCCCGACAAGTCCATTTCGGTGCGATTAGCCTCGTTGGGCGCCCCGTTTTAACAAAACGGAGGAGGAACCAGTTGGACAAAAAGGAGGAGGACAACGGCCCAGTTTGAACAAAAAGGAGGAGGAGGAAGAGGAGGAAGAGGAAGAGGAAGAGGAGGCCTTTGGTTGACGCTTCGGGCTTTTCTGGCCACGGCGGGATCCGCTTCGAAATGGTTGCCCCCGCCCCCCTCTCCTGAGATGGCCGCCGCCGACGATGACGACGACGACGGGAGGGGGCCCCCAAGGCGGCCCCAAAAGGGGCCCCACTGGGCCCCCGAAGTGGGTCGCCACAGGGGGGAGGTCACCGCGGAGAGGGTCGCGACGGGAGGGGTAGCCACGGGGAGGTTCGCCACGGGGATGGGTCGCGGCGGGGTCGCGGCGGGGGGGGGTCGCGACGGGGTGGGTCGCGACGGGGGGGGGTCGCGACGGGAGGTGTCGCGACGGGGGGTCGCGACGGGGGGTTCGCGGCGGGGGGGTCGCGAAGGGGGAGAGGGTCGCGACAAAGGGAGGTCGCGACGGGGGGGGCGCGACGGGGAAGTCGCGACGGGGGGGGCGTCGCGACGGGGGGTCGCGACGGGGCCCTCCCGCCCTCCTCGCCCTTCTCCTTCTGTTCCTGTTGCTCCTCCTCATCTTCTTCTTGCTTTAGTTCGCTCATTACTATAAGTGTTCTAATTAGTGTGTGTATATATATGTATAGTTTAAGTATTGTTAGTACGAGCTCTTCTGTTCCCCAATCAGAGCTTGCCTCTGTAGGGGTCCTAGCAGATTCATGGTTAGCTTAGGTTTGCCGCCGATTTTCGCCGCACGCCCGGGTGCCCGGGGGTGCCCGGGGGTGTCCAGGGGGTGCCCGGGCGTGCCCGGGTGCCCGGGCGTGCCCGGGGGTGCCTTATAGCCCTATAGCCCTATAGCCCTACAACTTTATAGCCCTATTGCTCTATAGCGCTATAGCTCAATAGCCCAACAGCCCCCTAGCCCTATAGCCCTGATTGTTTTTGTTTTTCTCCGGTATCATTTAAGTCGTGCAGTTGGTATGCGCGTTGTTACTCGTACGTGCATTACTCTTCTGCTTTGTTTCACGACTATTCGCAGTAGTAATAATATGTATATTACGATTGTTCCCTACCTAGGCTCTGCCTAGAGGGTTCTTACTCTCTTAGCTTAAAGGGGCGGGCAGTGTAAAGCGCCCCGGGCGGTTCCCCCAGTCCCCGCCCCGCGGTTCCCCCAGGTACGTCCCCTTAGCTTAGCGTTGCTTATCTCATATTAGCTTAGCTTAGCTTAGCTTAGCTTAGCTTAGCTTAGCTTAGCTTAGCTTGTCTCATCTTAGCTTAGCTTAGCTTAGCTTTAGCTTAGCTTTAGCTTAACTTTAACTTAGCTTTAGTTTAGCATTCGCTTAGCTTTCGCTTAGCTTTAGCTTAGCTTTAGCTTAGCTTTAGCTTAGCTTTAGCTTAGCTTCAGCTTAGCTTTTGCTTAGCTTTAGCTTCGCTTTAGCTTCGCTTTAGCTTAGCTGTAGCTTAGCTTTAGCTTAACGTTAGCTTAGCTGTAGCTTAGCTTTAGCTTAGCTTTAGCTTAGCTTTAGCTCAGCTTTAGCTTAGCTTTAGCTTAGCTTTAGCTTAGTTTTAGCTTAGTGTTAGCTTAGTTTTAGCTTAGATTTAGCTTAGGTTTATCTTAGCTTTAGCTGAGCTAAAGCTTAGCTAAAGCTTTAGCTTTGCTTTAGCTTCGCTTTAGCTTCGCTTTATCGTAGCTTTAGCTTAGCTTTAGCTTAGCTTTAGATTAGCTTTAGCTGAGCTTTAGCTGAGCTTTAGCTTAGCTTTAGCATAGCTTTAGCTTACCTGCAGCTTACATGCAGCTTACCTGCAGCTTAGCTTTAGCTTAGCTTTAGCTTAGCTTTAGCTTAGCTTTAGCTTAGATTTAGCTTAGCTTTAGCTTAGCTTTAGCTTAGCTTTAGCTGAGGGTTAGCTTAGTTTTATATTAGCTGTAGCTGAGCTTTAGCTGAGCTTTAGCTCAGCGTTAGTCAGCTTTAGCATTCGCTTAGCTTTAGCGTATCTTTACTGTTGCTACTAATGCTGCTTTCCCAGGGGCTTCAACTTCTAGGTAGGGTCGCACTGGGATAATTAGTTTTACTAGTACTTCTTCTTCGTCCTCATATTACCTGTATTCGTCGTATTAGTATTACTCATCTTATTCGTCTTAGTAGCAGTAATCGTATGAGTACTATTGATGGTATTGGTCGAAGAACTGCCTTGTTGTATTCTTAGTATTAATACTATAACCATACTCATAATCATTTGTGTTTCTCCTCCCCATCCTCGTCCTCACCCTCATCCTCATCCTTATCCTCTCGCCCTTTCCCTTGTATGCTCCGTGGCCGGCGGCTTCCACCGTTTCCTTGAATGGGCAGGCAGGAAGGGGGGTCCCGCCGCCGCCAACACCCTCAGGCGCCGCGTGGGGGTGCCGCCGCCGCGGCGGGAGAGGCGCCTCCAGCGCGGTCGCAAGGGGTCGTTCGGGGATCGTTCCCTCCGACCTCCCCCTCCGTCCGCCTTCTCCTCCGCCTCCCCCTCCTCCTCCTCCTCCTCCTTCTCCTCCTCCTCCTCCTCCTCCTCCTCCTCCTCCCCCTCCGCCTCCTCCTCCTCGTCCACCGCCTCCTCTTCCTCCTTTTCTACCTCCTCCTCCGCCCCCCCTGGGAGTGCCGTCTTGGTTCAAGGTCGTGCGCTGCTGGCCGAGTAGGGTGCTAGGGTTCGGGTGTTTGGGTTAGGGCGGTAGGGTTTGGGTTAGGGTGTTAAGGTTGTGGCTTACTATTCAGGGCGGTTTGTAGGTTTCTGGGAGGTCCAGCGGTGCAGCGGAATTCGCGCGCCAAGCCGAGACCTCACAGTTCCTTGGTTGGTTGTGAACTGCGCTATTGTTGTCACACCCATGGGTTCCTGCGAGATGCGGCGGAGTAGGGGGAGTACGCGCACAAAGCCGAGACCTCGCAGCTCCTTGGGAGGTTGCGAAATGCGCAACCGTCGCCATTTTCGCTGGTTCTTGGGATTTACGGCGGAGTAAGGGAGTGCGCGCACCCAGCCAGGACCTCGCAGCTCCCTGGGGGACTGCGTACTGAGCAACCGTCGCCAGTTTTGTGGGCTCCTGGGATGCACGGCGCAGTAGGGGAGTACGCGCACCCAGCCAGGACCTCGCAGCCCCCTGTGGGGGTCTTAAGCCTTAGGGCTTCGAGTTTAGGGCTCCAGCCGTACGAGCTCGGGGCCAAGGTTTAGAAACTTGGGATTCGGGTGTTAGGGCTTAGGGTTTTTGGCTTACGACTTAGGCTTAAAGCTTAGGGCCTAGGGCCTAGGGCTTAGAGCCCGTTCGGAAAACCTCCCGGCGATCACGGGCGTGACCGGCCTCGCCCCCCCCCCCTCCCTCACGTCACGGCGGTCGTCCGGTGGCGACCGCGGACGTCTTGTGTCGCTCGCAGGCTACTGTGCACCTGTGGTACTCGCGAGGGGAAGCTGTTGCGTGCGTGCCGCGTGGTGCTCTCAGGGACGCAGTGTTGTTCTGTTTCTGAGAGGCATTGGTGCGTCGGTCGTAGCGCGGCGCTCGTAGTTGCCAGCACTGTGGTGTATACAGGCGCTGGAGCACCTCCTCCTCCTCCTCCTCCTCCTCCTCGTCCGGCCTTTCTGATTAGAGTTTATTTGCATCCGGTGTCGATTCGTTGACTTTTTGGCCTCCGTGCGCCTTGGGGCCCCTCCAGGAGCCTTCTTGAGGCCTGGAACGGAACGATTAGAGTTCCTCTTGTATCCGGTATCGATTCGCTGATTTTTTGGCCTCCAGGCGCCCTGGGCTCTTCCTGGAACCTTGCGAAATCGCTGCAAAAAGACTCCGATTGAAATCCTCCACGGAAGGATCCCCAGTGATTTCCTCCGCAGAAGGATTCTTATTGAGTTCCTCGCAGGAATAGGAGGGGGAAGAGAAGGAGGAGGAGGAGGAGGAGGACAGGGGGAGGAGGAGGAGGAGGAGGAGGAGGAGGAGGAGGAGGAGGAGAAGGAAGAGGAGGATGAGGAAGACGACGAGGAGGACGAAGAGGGGGAGCCTGGAACGCAACGATGATTGTTTATTTGTAACCGATATCGATTCGTTGACTTTCTGGCCTCAGGGTGCCCCTGGTCCCTCTGGGGGCCTGGAACGGAACGATTGGAGTTTACTTGTATCGGGTATCGATTCGTTGATTTTTGTTGGCCTTCCGGCGCCCCGGGCCTTCCTAAGGCTTGCAACGGAACGAGTAGTAGTAGTAGTAGTAGTAGTAGTAGTAGTAGTAGTAGTAGTAGTAGTAGTAGTAGTAGTAGTAGTAGTAGTAGTAGTAGTAGTAGTAGTGGTAGTGGTAGTGGTAGTAGCAGTAGTAGTAGGAGTAGTAGCAGTAGTAGCAATAGTAGTAGTAGTCGTAGTAGTA